AGCGGGGTGTTGCGCCTGCACTTCACTCGGCCAGTGGGCGGCCGGTCTGTATGTGGGATCTGACCCCTCGGCGGGAGCCCCGCCGCGCTCCCAAGCGGCGCACTGTAGCAGTGCGCCACCGGGCTGGCCCAATATTGCTTGTTTTTGAATTGGGTTGTTCTTGTTGATTTTAAGAGTTCTTCATATATTCTGGATATTAATCCCTTATCAGATATACCATATGCAAGTGTTTTCTCCCATTCTGTAGGTTGTCGTTTTGCTTTCCTGATAGTATCCTTTGCACAGAAGTTCCTAATTTATCTTTCTTTTTTTCTTTTGTTGCCTATGCTTTTAGTGTCATATCCATGATGTCATTGCCAAATCCCATGTCTTGAAGATTTTCCGTAATGTTTTCTTCTAAGAGTTTTACAGCTTTAACTCTTAAGTTTAGGTCTTTGATCCATTTTGAGTTAATAAGGAATGGGTCCAACTTTATTCTTTTGCATGTGGCTATCCAGTTTTCCCAGCACTATTTGTTGGAGGGGCCTTGGCACCCTTCTGCAAAATCATTTGACCATGTATGTGAGGGTTTGTTTCTGGGCTCTATATTCTATTCCATTGGTCTATACCGTATGTCTGTTGGTATGCCAGTATCATACTGTTTTAATTACTGTAGTTTTGTGGTAAGTTTGAAAGTCAGTTAAAGTTCTTTGCCCATTTTTTAGTGTGGTAATTTGTTTTCTTGCCTTTGAGTTGTTTGTGTTCCTTGTATGTTTTGGATATTAGCCCCTTATCAGACATATAGTTTACAAGTATTTTCTCCCATTCTGTGTCTTGTCTTTTCCCTTTGTTGATTGTTTCCTTTGCTGTACAGAGGCTTTTTAGTTTGATGTCATCCCATTTGTCTGTTTTTGTTTTTGTTGCCTGTATTTTCAGGATCATACCCCCAAAATTGTTGCTGAGACCAATGTCATGGAGATTTTTCCCTATGTTTTCTTCTAGTAGTTCTACAGTTTCAGATCTTACATTTAAGTCTTTGATCCATTTCGAGTTGATTTTTGTATATAGTGTGAGATAGGATCCAGTTTCAGTCTTCTGCATATGGATAACCGGTTTTCCCACCACCGTTTATTAAAGAGGCTGCCTTTTCCCCATTGTCTGTTCTTGGCACCTTTGTAAAATCGATTTTAAATGCATGAATTTATTTCCAGGCTGTCTATCCTGTTCTGTTGGTCAGTGTGCCTGTTTTTATGTCAGTACCATGCTGGGTTTTTTGTTTGTTTGTTTGTTTGTTTGTTTTTGGGGGGTATGGGGACCAGAAGCTTTGACGTTGGTGTTATCAGCACCATGCTCTAACCAAGTGAACTAACCTGTCAGCCCTATTCCTGTGTTGTTTTTTTTTTTTTTCATGTTGTTTTGATTACAATTGTTTTATTATGTATTTTGAAATCAGTGTCATACCTCCAGCTTTGTCTTTTCACTCAATATTATTTTGGCTATTTGGGGTCTTTTGTGATTCTATACAAATTTAAGGACTGTCTTTTTCTATTTCTGTGAAAGATAACATTGGAATTGTGATAGGGATTGCATTGAAGCTTTGGGTAGTATGGACATTTTTACAATATTTATTTTTCCAGTCTCTTAACATAGGATATCTTTCCATTTATTTGTAGTGCTTTTTTTGTTTGTTTGTTTAAGTCCTTTTATCAGTATTTTATAGTTTTTGGTATACAGGTCTTTCACCTTCTTGGTTAAATTTATGCCTAAGTATTTTTTTTGGTTGTTGTTGTTGCTATTATAAATGGGATTTTCTTAATTTCCTTTTTGTATAAGTTTGTTATTTGTATATAGAGATGGTACTGATTTTTGTATGTTGTTTTTGTATCCTACAACTTTACCAAATTTCTTCATCAGTTCTAACAGTTTTTTGGTGGAGTCTTTTGGGATTTCTAAATATAGGATCATGTCATCAGCAAATAGAGACAATTTCGCTTCTTTCTTTCCTAGTAGGGTACCTTTTTTTTTTTTCTCTCTTTTTGCCTACCCATTGCTCTGACTAGGACTTTCTAGTGCTGTGTTGAAAAGAAGTGTGAGTCATCCAACTTTATTCTTTTTCAAGATTGTTTTGGGGCCGGCCCGGTGGCGCACTGGAGAGTGCGCCGCTTGAGAGCGCAGCGGCGCTCCCGCCGAGGGTTCAGATCCCATGTGGAGACCGGTTCCCGCTCACTGGCTGAGCGCGGTGCGGGTGCAGCACCGAGGGTTGCGATCCCGTTGCCGGTCCCTGGTACGGGCACGACACCGAGGGTTGCGATCCCGTTACCGGTCAGTAAAAAAGACAAAAAGGAAAAAAAAAAGATTGTTTTGGCCTTTTGGGGCTCTTTGCAATTCCATATGAATTTGAGGATCAGCTTTTCCATTTTTGTAGAAAATGCTGTTAGAATTTTGATAGGGATTGCATTGAATCTGTAGATAGCTTTGCGTAGTATTGTTATCTTCACAGTGTTAATTTAAGTCTTCCTATCCATGAACATAGGATGTCCTTCCAATTTTTTAGGTTATCTTTAATTTCTTTCAGCAATATTTTGTTTTCAATATATGTCTTTTACCTCCTTGGTTCGATTTATTCCTAAGGATTTAATTCTTTTGGGTGTTATTGTGAATGGAATTGCTTTCTTAGTTTCATGTGTATAGGCTCAGCATATACTTACCATCAGTATGGAACAGTTCCTTCAGACTTTGCTATCTTTTATGAACT